CTCGTGCTCACGTGGTCCTGAAGCTCGGATGTGAGCTCCTGGACCGCTAACGCCAACGCTGCCTTCTCGTCCTTCCGTTCGCGGGGCTCGGCGCGCTGCTCGTCGACCCCGTGCTCGTAGTACTCCTTCTCGGTATTGCGCAACGCCTGAATGGCATAGAAACTCACCCTGGCCGAATCTGCACCTCGCTTGCGTTCCGCTCCTCGCGATGGGCTGCTTCGACCTTCACGTCGCAGTCGGCCCACGCGGCCGCGATCAGACTGGCGACTCGGACTCGACCATCTCGCACTTCATCGCAACCTCTGCGAGCTCCTGGCGACGCCAGTCGTCGGACGACTGACCACGCGCGATAAATCGCAGACGCGCCAGCTGCGAGATCTCGAACTCCTCCAGCAACTTGAACTTGAGGTCGCTGGTCTCGGCCTTGAGACGATCGAAAGTGCTGTCAGAGACGACCCTGCAGCGCTGTCCGCTGCAATGCTGTCAGAGACTGGCCCCTGCAGGTCCTCGGCGAACTCCGCGGTGCTCTCGAGCTGGAAACTTGTTCTACTGCGTCGCTGGTGCCACCCCAATCGATAACTAATTGTTTCAACCAAATCCTCAGCGGCAAACGCCCCTGTAAGGTTTTGCAACACGCCTGCTGGCAGAGCCGGCGCCATCGGCTTGGTGGCAGAGCCTGGCGCGGCCGCGGCCTCTCCTTTAGGCACTTTCGGCGGCGCGAAGGCACCCTGCACGGCCTCCGCTACCATCGGATTGCCCGCAGGACTTGGCGCGGCCGCGGCGCCTTCTGCAGGCCCTTGCCGCGCCCTCGCGGCCTCCGCCGAGCCGGCCTCAGTCTTCTTAAACGACTCTGCGCCAACCCCATGACAGGGCGGCGGGCGCGCCGACACCAGCCCCGCATCTGGCACCAAGAGCGGAGGGGGCAGCGCCTGCAAGGGCGCATGCCCCTGGAGCCGACGGAGCCGAAGCCGCAGCCCGCGGAGCCGACGGAGCCCACGGCGCCCCCACCCACGCGGCGAAAAGAAATGTGGGCCATACGCGGATACAACGGACGCGGCGGCGGCGCTGTTCCTGCGCCCTCGGCTGGGCTGCCACCGCCTGGAGCAACCGCCCCCTAAGCCCCTGGCTTGCTGGCGCCGCGCGCGCCCGCGCCCCCCTCTGCAGGCCCCTGCGGCGCGGCCCGGGCACTCCGCGCGGCCCCCGCGTCAGCCGCCGCGCCCTGCAAAGCAGATGCGCCGGCAGAGCTGGCGCGCCGTCAAGCCGCGCCAAGCTGCCCATCACGCACTGGCGCGCGACCTCTGGCAACAGCTTATTCAGACTAGCGCTTCTCACGATTACCTTCGGATTGCCGCGCCAAAAAGCCCTAGAGCTTCTCTGCAGCGTTACATTACGGTAATAGTTCTTATCGCTTGAACAATTAGCAGAGCACGAACGGTGCGTCAGACCGATGTCGGACATCTAACTACTTGAGACTAGCGCGCCTGATCATTCTAGATAGGTTAGGTGTGCTGTCAGCTCTCTAGCTCTTCTACAGCTGTTACAACTGCCAATACAATCAGACATGCCTCCGCATCCATTTTCTGCGGCGGGCACCAGAACGTCACCATCACTGTGCAAAGCAAGCCCGTGTCCATCGAACGCCGGTTCCGAACCACGTCGAACTCGAAAGCCTGTCGGATCGCTGTGCTCTCACTATACCTGGCAACTGCCCTCCTGCTCGCACGCACGTTCAATATGCTTATTGTGTTAACAAAAATGCAGGACCTGTTGTTGACAGAGATGCCAAAAATACCACATCCTTCCCAGCTTTGTTTTCGTCATTTTTGATGACTTATCCGACATGTCTGGCACGTTCGACAAATGCTCGAAATGACGCAATCGCACGCAGCAAAACTGCATCCACAAATTTGTCAGGCCTCACAAGAGTCGGCATTTTTTGTTTTAAGTGTTTTACCTCTGTTTTAACCTTTGAATATTTTATGTTTTAATGATCTCGCTCCATCGCGAACACCCGACCTGCCAAAACTCAGCTCAAAAACTGCGCGTCTACTATCTCTGCGAGGCAACACACTCTGAGTCTCACGGCCCCCCAAAAAAAGGAAACTCAAAAAGTGGCGAATCTGGCCCTACACGGTTCTGAACAAGCA